ATGTTTTTTCAAAGAAAAACTGCTCGTAGCAACATGATTGAATGATGGATTCGTAACAGCAAACAAAAAGGCACGAAACGGACAGAAGGCCTCCACATTAATAAATAGATACCCAAACTGTGGGATAGCCATATAATACTTTAGCGCAGTCATGAAAAAGAATGAATTAGTTATACACTCCAAGCTGAGCCTTGAAAATATACCGAGAGGCATCCCATTGCCTTTCATAATGCCGTTTGTATGAAATGCAGAGAGCAGACAAATCCATAGAAGTGGAAACAGTGGCTGTTGAGAGGTTGAGGAAGATGGAAATGGGGAGCTCAGGGCTCTGAGGCTCCCCTGGAGAGTGATGAAAATATTCTGCAGTTGATAACGATCACATAAACACCAGAATCCTATGCTGTGCCGTGCTGAATATTATGCTGCATAAAGTTACATAACAAAACTTTAAAGTTCCAATAACTCTTGTAGAAATTTCTAGCCAAAGGCTCCTAAAATTTCAGACAGTAAAACGGAGGGGCGTTGAACAGAACTAGAAGTACCTCGGAAAATAATAACAATGTTGAAGTCGTTCTTTTAAAGTATTTATTGAGCACCTGGTGTGTACTGGACGCCATCCAATGGATTTGAGATGCATTAACAAATAAAGTGCTCTGCCCTGAAGGAGTCAGGAAAGGGATCTGAGTCAGGAGAATAAGCAAGGCCAGCTAAGGCTTCTAGGGAAGTTTTACTGTTCCTGGAAGAACTGGAGAAGAGTGAGAAGTCAGCCCTGTGCACTGAGAACACAAAGGGAAGAGGAGAGACAGTAAGTTGAGCATAACAGGCATCATGATGCGGTTTCTTCTGAGTAATTCCGGGTGAGAAGTGATATGATCTGACTTACTGAGGAAGGAGGGGATTTTAATTCATGGGTTGTTTTTTTGTTTTTTTTTTTTTTCCAAGTTATGTATTTCCTCTGTTTTCAAGCTTGGGCTTTTACGATTTGTCTTTCATTTTTAAAGTGCCACCCAGTTCCTATGGCTAGCTGCAGGGAGAGAAACAGAGACCTGTTTGAAGACTCTTGTAATAGTTTCAGGGAGATGCCAGGAATATGGACTGGGATGGTGCTTCATTACCGTCAATAGGGAAGCTATCCCTGAGACCAAAAGAGGGAGCCCATTTATGATGGTCTGACTAACGTAGTTTTGAAGGCTGGGTGAAGGCTTTTTCCCCATCTTAAGCTTTTGTTGAGAAAAGTGCAGAGAAATTTGCATTCAAAGTCAGTGGGAGTTTAGCAAATTACCCTAGAGGTTTATCCATAATGTGGACAGCTGAGATGATTCAGCAGAGAAGCAGCTGCACACTGTAGACTGATTTTCCCTGATGACTCTGCTTTCACGGCACAGATGGGAGCAAGGGTCTCAAGGAAAAGGGCAGCATTGTGATAAAGGAAGGAAAAGCAGGTCAGGATCAAGTTCGCAGAATCCACACGGGCTCTCCGTATCTTTTTCTTTATCAGAAAACCAAAGCAATCACTTTCAGGATTGTTGGAAAGTAAGAGATAGGCTGGTTGAGCGCCAGCCTCAACCATATTAGATTCCTAGAAGAAGGTATTGTCAGTAAGTATCAGGAAGGCATGAGAGATGGTTTGAATAGCAACGACTCCCTAGGTTTGTAGATTTGAGGAATTGGTCACCAGGGAGTGGCACTAGTAGGAGGTGTGGCTTTGTTGGAGTAGATGTGGCCTTGTTGAAGGAAGTGTGTCACTAGGGGTAGGCTTTGAGATTTCAATTGTTCAATCCAGGCCCAGTGTTCCTCTCTCTCTCTCTCTCTCTCTCTCTCTCTCTCTCTCTCTCTCTCTCTCTCTCTCTCTCTCTCTCTCTCTCTCTTCCTGCTGCCAGCCATCCAGATGTAGAATTCTCAGCTCCTTTCCCAGCACCGCGTCTACCTGCTTGCTGCCATGCTTTCTGCCATGACAATAATGGACTAAACCTGCAGACTTAAATAACATGGTTTGTGAAATTGCATCTACAGTTGGTTCTACTTTCAGTGAAAAAAATTAAAAATGGAGCTGCTACTTCAAGACATTGTTAAGCACAATGATGTCCTTAATAGCTGCTCAACTCATAAGAAAACGGCAAAATAATGACAAATGAGATTATATCAATATAAAAAGATCTGCACAGCAAAGGCCATAATAGCAAAATGAAAAAAGTCTATGATTGGACATAGAGTTAATATTCAGGTTCTATATGGAATTAAAATATTTTTAAAATGCTTTTTTAAAAAATTCAGATAATAAAATTTAAAAACAGGCAAAATACCTTTATCAATAGCTGCTTGGTATCATTAGCCAGTAAGGAAAAGTAAATAAATCCACTATGAAATCACATTCAATCCCAGGAACAGTGGCTATTCCAATGTTGGGGCAGATAGAGAGGAAAGAGAACTCCAATGTACTGTTAGTGTAGATGCAAATTCTTACAACTTTTTTGGAGTAAAGTATTTGAGTTCCTCAAATGAACTAAAAATAAATTTGCTGTGTCATGCAGCTATCCTATTTCCCACGTCCAGCTATTCCCATTTCCAATGGAAATAAAAACCCAGAGCTGTCTGAATACCACGTCATTTGCTGCAGTGTCCGCCAATCTAACCTACAGAATTTCCCTGTGTCCTCCTAAAAATGTGTGTGTACACATGTGATGCATGTGTGCATGGTATATAAATGTTGTACATTATATAATGCAACATTTTCAGTCAGAAAGAAGAATAAAATTCTTCCATTTGTCACAAAATTGATGGATGTAGATGTGTTTGTATTCAACAGAATGAAGCAGATACACAAAAAGACAAGTACAGCATGTTCACTCAAATATAAAAGCTAAAAAATGTTGACCTAAAAGTAGGATAATGACTATGAAAGAAGCAAAGAGTGTGGGAACAGTGGGAAAGAAGCTATTGCGTTTGATTAATACTATATGGGAAATATCATATAACCTCTGTGGTATATCTAGTTGAAACATCAATAAAAATCAGTAAATGAAATAAAATTGCAAACCACAAAAATCAATAATTAATCAAGATATTATTAATATAATAGTTAATCAATATTATTGAGCATTTTTATGTCTGAACTATAGTAAAATTATAACACCAACAATATTACTTCCTGAAACTAAACTTATTTTCAGGTTTGGAGAATTCTGCCAGCTCTAATCTGCCTCACAAGTCACACAAACACTAGCTACTGCTACCAAGCATCAGGACCACAACTATGTTTTCTTAGGTAATTAAATAGTTTCAAAGGAAAAAGTTTTATAATTTAGGATATTTAGTGTTATTTTCTTGTTTTTTTTTTTCTTTTTGAGGAAAGCATGCCAAATGTTTCTTGTTTTTCCACTGAGTCCTGAAAATCATCTCTGATTTCTTCTTTAAGGGAGGAAGAGGAAGTGAGCAGGAAGGTTGAGCCCTCCATGTCTCTTCCTCCTTAACGTCCTTAGTTACAGCATCTTCCTTCCATTTCCATTAAATTTGGGGTTGGGGTGCTAAAGGAAAAAACTGGAAGCTTCCCATCTAGCCCGGCTACACACAGAAGAGAAATCAAATAAAGCACAAAGCATGGAGTCACGTGTCTAATTTCATGGTCAGTCTCATGACTCCCAGCCTCCCAATACCATGCCACCTTCTCCTTATCATCATGGTAATATCATGTATCCTGAATTTAAATGTGATTGTGTTAGTTAGGGTTTCTAATGTTCTGAGGAGACACGATGACCAGAGCAAATCTTATAAAGGAAAACATTTAACTGGGACATGACTTAAAAATCTCAAAGCCTACCCCCAGTGATATACTTCCTCCACAAAAGTCACAACAACAAGGTCTCGCCTCATAGTAGCACCCCTCTCTAAGGACCTATGGGGCCATTTTCATTCAGACCACCACCGTGATTCATGACAGCATGCATCTAGTAATTGTGATTTTATATGAGGTACTATATCTTTAGAGATTTTACATAATGTGTGACATGATATATTTAAGAATTATATATAACATATGCTATTTAAAGTTTACACAATAAATCATTTTTATATAACTCAGTTTGGAAACATTATTATCCTACTCTAAAACACAAAAATATTGAGATAGGGCAATAGAGAAAAGACCAAATGTAAACAGCTCCTTATTTCTTTTTCTTAACTGATGTTTCCTAAACTTCAAGGTATCACTTGCCTATTTTAGAAGGCAATTTAAAGAACTTGATTTCAGCCTGGGTCTACTGATCCTCAGTGCTCTAATCTGGATGAAATCAAAGGTAGAATACTGTGGCCCTTCATTGCCACTGTCAGTGCAGTGCTGTGCTCTTTGAGTAAGTCTCCGCCTCCATAATCTCCAGTGAAGCACAACAAAAGTTATATTGCTCAGATTGACACTTATTGAACGAGTTGTTTGGTTTGCAATCCAGAGAACCCTCTGCTTCAAATATGCCTTGCCCAGAGGTGAGAACTGTCTGCAAAGACCTGATAGATTCCAACATTTTTTTTTAATTGGTGTGGGTTGGTGAGTGGGATATGGTTCTGTCAGTACGGTGTTTGCCAGCTCAAACATGATGGCCTGAGTTCAGTCCCCAGAGGCTGGAGATGTGACTTATAAACAAAGAGTACCAACTGGACGTTCTTCCAAAGGAGCTAGGTGTGATTCCAAGTGCCTACATGGTAGCTCACAACGATCTGTAACTCCAGTTACAGGGGATTTGGCCTTCTCTTCTGGGCTCTCTGGGCACAAGGTACACACCTGGTAAACAGATATATAGAGAGGCAAAACATCTATATTAAAAATGATAAAATCATAATATTATCATTTTTATCTCAGATAATCCATTATCTGATATTAAATTGATATTATGATAAAATGATATTATCATAAATTAAAAATTAATTTATGATAAATTAAAAATGATAAAAATTATCATTAATTATGATTAATTATTAAAATGATAAAATCATAATATTATCATTTTATCTCAGATAATCCATTTTATTTTCTCCCTTCCTAACAAAAGTTTTAAGGTAATTTCAAATAGATCTTTAGAATGATTATTTGTCATGATCATTGGCACAAAAGAAGCAAGACCAAGGACAATCAACCTCCTCTTCTATTTTTTCTGAAATTAATATTCTTAAATCCAGGCATAACAGTGGCTCTCATAATCTCAGTGTGAGCAGGCAGACACGGGAGAATGCCTAAAGCTCACTAGCCAGTCAGTCTAGCTAAACTGGCAAGCTCCAGGTTAAATAAGAGAAGTTTTCTCAATAAAAAGTAAGGTGGGGAGTGACCGATGAAGATGCTTAGTGTCAAGCTCTGACCTCCACATGCAAATGCACACACACACACACACACACACACACACACACACACACAAATAAAATATTAGAACAGAACAAAATAAGTTAATGTAGTGTCTATCACTGCTCCTCAGACATATTGTACATAGGGCAATTTCCTGTTGCTCTATAGAACTTTGTCCATCAGAAATGTCAATAACTTTCATCCAATAAGAACAACCCCCAAAGCCAGTGCTTGCTGGCACAAACTCGGTCTTATATGCAATAAATTGCTGAGAAGCACCCTGGCTTCTTAAATGCTCTTTGAAATGATCTTAAACTCGTTAGCTCAAGAACGCAGTGAAACACTCTACAGGTATCCATTTTATATTTTACTAACAGTCACAATATTTTCCTTTCCAAAATTATACTTTGGCATAACTTAACTCACTTCGCCTGTGGTCTTTTATTTGCCATATGTAGACATACACTTTGCTGAGTTGTAAAGATTAAGAGTCAAGGTGTGTGAAACACTTCACGCAGAACCATAAGGCTGTGTGTGTGCAGTTAAGTGGGTGTCTCGCACTTGAAACTAGGGCTGTGATTGATCAGTCCACCACGGGTAGGCTTCAGCTCCTTCCTACTCGCCTGTATAAAACAGACTTCGCAAACTTTGCCGGCAATGACTTTTCAGCTGCTTCAATCACATTCTTTAAAATCCTTCCTGACCTGACTCCATTCTAATTATATATCTCCTACCTCATGGAAACAGTGTGCAGTGGGAACTACATGTCAGAGTCCAAGCGAGGTGACCTTTGCCACTGGAAGCTTTCCAGGGCTTGTCTCCAGTAGGCCGCAGCAAACATAAGCTTTTAAACACCTCCAGTACTATCAGGTAAGCAAACTGACATCTAAAGATAAAGAAAGTCTTCCTGCTGGACCTGGTGCAAAAGCCTTTAATCCTAGCCCTTGGATTGGGGCATAATTATCATTACATTACAGTAAGATCCACTTACAAGTGAGTACATACCATGTTTATCTTTCTGGGTGTGAGTTACCTCACTCAGGATGATTTTTACTAGTTCCATCCACTTGCCTACAAATTTCATGATGTTATTTTATTTTTTTTTTTGAAAGCTGAGTATTACTTCATTGTGCATATGTACCACATTTTCTTTATCCATTCTTTGGTTGAGGGACATCTAGGCTCTTTCCAGTTTCTTTTTTTTTTATTTTAACCTCTATTTCTTTTATTTTTACTTTTACTTTTATTTATTTATTTTTTGTTGAAAAGATTTCTGCCTCCTCCCGCCTCCCATATCCCTCCCCCTCCTCCCACTCCTCTTCCCCTCCTCTTACTCCTCTCTCCCTCTCCCCACTCCTCTCCCCTCCCCCCACCCCATTCCCCCTCCCTCTCTGTGGGAAGTCCAAGGGCAGGGCACCCTGACTTCTCTTAGGACTGGAGAGGGAAGAGGAAGGGAAGTGGGGGGAATGGGAGGGAAATGGGAGGATGGGAGGAGGTGGAAATTTTTAATTTAAAAAAAATTGTGTAGGTATAGTACACATTAGCTCATTTAATTTGTCTAATATCCTACCAAACGGGGTGTGTTACCCTAGTTTAAATGCTAAGAAAACTGATGTTAAAGGAAATTAGCCTACAGGACATTCTCAAGATTTATACCATATTTTGAATTCTCAAAGAGATAGACTGACCCCAAAGTTTTTGAATTCTGATTAGTAGAACAAATGCTGTATTATCAAAAGATGATTTAATCAAGAACTGAACTGTTAAAGCTACTTAATCTTCAAAACTAACCATTCTTACAGGTTCAGAGAAATAAATTTTAATTACAACCTTCCCTTGTTCTCCAGTCACAGGTATGATTGAGAGAGTGTGCCTGTGGGTGGATTTTACAAGAAGATCTATCAGCTAAGTGTGCCGGCTCAGATCAGAATGTTCTGGTAAGCCTCTCTGATCGAATGCACTCGGGTTCACATGCTCCTGCTGCGCTGTTTGTTCTTTGCGCTGATCATTGTTCCACTGTCCTCTTCCTTCCACAGACTTCTAACAGCTTTTGCCTCTACCAGCGGATAGCAAATTCCTCAGAGAGCAAGGACTCTTCCTCCCTTACCTTTATTTGAAATATATCACTTATTCTTTGAGAATTTCATACACGTGTACAATATATTTTGATTATATTCACCTCCCCCACTCCAACTTTTCCTAGTTCCCTCTTCCCAGAGTCCTCTCCAAACTCCTGAATCTAATTAGTGCTGCCCACACGTGTATGGGTGGAGGGCCATTGGCTGGAGCACAGTCACCCTAAAGAAACCTGATTCTGGGGACTGAGGAGATGGTTCAATGGTTAAAGTGCTTGTAAGCATGAGGACTGGAATTGGGGTCACTAGACTGGAATTGGGGTCACTAGAACAATGATGACTGTGCTTCAAGGCCCTCCTGTAATAACAGCTTCAGAGAAGAGAAGCAGGTGACTCCCAGAGCAAACTGATCAGAGAAACCAACCAGATTAGTGGGCCCTGGGTTTGAGTGAGAAACCCTGATTCAGTGAATAAAATGAAGAGCAATCTAGGATGCTATTACCCCTATTATCAATCTTGGGGCTCAACATATACATATATTTATATTTACGTTTATACAAACACACATGCACCAGCCCATGCATATGCCCCACACACACAAATGTGCATACACGTAAGGCACACGTGGAAAAAAGAATATTGACTATCCCCAACCAGTTATCAGCTATCAATATCTCTTCAATGAGGGGCGGTACTCATCTTCCATTATCTTTATATCACCAAGTATCCAAATCGGCAATGTTTTCCAAAAAGCAGCAGCCAACAGAGGGTTTCTCCAAGCGAGTGTTCTAGGCTATGGAGCAGTGCAAAGTATCTTAGTCCATTGCTAAGATCAGCCACCAGGAGCAACAGTGAATGCTAAGGTTGAAACCAAATAAGAAGTCCAAATAAACCAGGCAGTTGTGGCTCATGACTTAATCCCAGCACTCAGGACGGAGAGACAGGTGACTCTGCTTCAGTTCAAGGCCAACCTGGTCTACAGAGTAAATTCCAGGAGATTCCGGAGTTTCCAAGAAAATTCTGACTTCTACACATCCAAAAGTGTATTTTTGTACTATTCTTATAATAAAACCTTTTAAAAATAAATGTCTCCCATTTCTTGTAATTCCTATTACCATCTCATCACAAGTATTTGTTTAATTGTGCAAATTATTCTAAGACTTTTTTTCCTAGCTCTAAAAAGTGAATATAAGCTTGATACAAAGAGCATAGACTTTTTTTGTTGTTGTTGTTTTTTTTTTTTTTTTTTGTTTTTCGAGACAGGGTTTCTCTGTGGCTTTGGAGCCTGTCCTGGAACTAACTCTGTAGACCAGGCTGGTCTCGAACTCACAGAGATCCGCCTGCCTCTGCCTCTCGAGTGCTGGGATTAAAGGCGTGCGCCACCATCGCCCGGCGGCAAAGAGCATAAACTTTTAAACTGTTCCGGAGATCGAAGTCATGCTGCATGCCATCAGGTGAGGTCAAAAAGCCTGGGTTCAAGTTTGAAGAAAAAACGCAAAGTATGTAAATATATAAAATTGCTATAGCAACATCTTGAGCCTTTGCTACTAAGTATGGAGGTAATTTACACCAGTAATCTTTTAGTTCTTTGGACTACAATGCTCCTCATACAAACATTTTCTTCAACTTTCAGATAGTTAACATTCAAAAGCATAGGGTATAAGAAGTTTATTATATATTGTATAAAAATAAAAGTTGTATGATCTTTTGGTATCGTTAAATAAAGTAGGGGATTCTGTGTAGAACATTCAAGAAAAAGAAATAATCCTGCCTTAGCCAGGGATCCTCAGTCAGGGGAACTTTCCCCCAAAGGATATCTGAAATATCTGAACATTTTTTTTTATTGTGTTGATGGGACAAAGGGTGCTACTGGCACTGATGAATGGCCATAGATGCTTCTAGAAATTCTAGAATGGACAGGTTAGCCCTGTAAAGGCTCATCTTGTTCACCATGTAAACAATGCTAAGCCTGAGAAAACCTCACTTGAGAGCTACTATCTCAGGGTTTAACACAGCATGTGGTCCTTTGTGGGTTGCTGATGGTTGCTGTGCTGCCGGCACCTATTCAGAAATCCAAGTTTGATTTACCCACAAGCCCTGGGAAGCTCAAGGGCTTCTGAATCTTCCCCTAGATTTTCAAAGAAAACAAAGAAAACCCTTTACGGAAATTTATTCCAGATGTTTGGGCCTTTCCCTGGCAACGGTATCAGTTTCATCTATATTCCGATGGCTGTAACCAGTCAGAGGCCTGTATTGAATGCCAAGAAAGGCCAAGAAATGAAGACTAGCAAAGCTTTCAAAACCTACAGAAGTATTCTCTGAATATCACGCAGTCCCAAGCCCCATGTCTTACATATCCCTGTGACCAACAAAATATTTTTGTGGGTAGTTAATAAAAGTTGATAATCGCAATAAAAACAAAGTACTCTATAGCAATATCAAGCACTAGCTCCTTTAAAATAGGAATCAGAAGAATTAGAAATCAACATTCAATACAAAACCTTCTACAAGTTGTACTGGGACCGAGCTCACCATAATTAAAATTTCCAGGTGGATAACTAGCTATTTGGGCACCACTTCTAACTCACAGGTGTTTGCATTGCTTGACAATGATTTCATAGTTTTCAAACCCATCACATCTCTTATTAAAATAATTCTTTTCTAATTCAGTTTTAAGGTAATTTTAATTGCTTAAAATTTAAATTAAAATTCCATGTTTTTATACAGGCAATGAAATCATTATTTGTATAAAATCCAACAATAGCTCGTGAAACCAAATAGTATACAACATTCTTATAATGAAGGGATACAGAACAGCAACCAGGCAGATGATGCTAGCTAGCATTTTGGTCTTGAAGAATCTTTTAATAAATAGTTTAAAGCAAAAATTTCCATGTACTTTACTTTAAAACAGTGGAAGTGAGGGCAGCTGACTTAAAAAAGAGATTATTTCTTTTCTCAAATATCTGAATATCAGAGTTTTTCAGGCTCAAATAAATTCCTGAAAGAGAGAAATAAATGCCTAGTGGCATCAGCAGATAACTCAATCAGTAGGCAACCATATTGCCAGCAACCTACATTGGCCCTGTGCTGAAAATAACGAGTAGTTAGATTTAGTGTAGCAATAGACAGCCTACTGTTCAAACCAGACTCAAAACCAATTCTTTCTTTCTCCTTTCCTGAATGCCAGAGTTCCTGTCACTAATGAGCTGGCTGGAATATGCTAAGCAGTTCATCAGCCGAGCCTGTAGGTTATCGGGGGAGAGAGCGGCTGGAGGGGAATGGTGCACCGCACGGCAGAGGTGATAAAAATGCAGGGAGCCTCATAAATCTCTCCAACCCATTTACCGAGAGGGATGGAAGCTTCCGAAATCTCTCATTTAAAGGGCATTCCAGCTCAGTCTATTCTATTATGCTATCCAGTAGCCTTCTGTGGGCAAGTTATTACTGGGGAAATTGTCATTAGAACATTGGTATTAGAAATTTTTAGCCATCCAGCTAGACTATTTACAGAAGAACTAAGACAAATAAGCCGATTGTGTTCCCTCTGATATTCTATTCTATTCAGAGTTTGTGTATAATCTTGGTCTTTGACATGTTGAGATTAGTAATGTCATGAATAGTCTAATGGGAGTTTGCTTTATTTAAAGCGACTTATTAAAAATATGACATAAATTTTTTCTAGACATACACAAGTGGTTTCCTGGAGGAACTGAATATATCTTAATTAAGTAGAACGTCACATTGTACCTCAAGAAAATGCCCCACGAGATACACAGAGATATCCTCCCACCTTGAATACCTTTCATGGGTATGCTAGTAACACATTCTTGCTAATTTGTATGGGCATTCAGAAATTTATAGCACTATCATGCATGTTTGGTGTGCATCTAAAGTGGGCTGCAAGCTTACCCACATAAATATATATTTGCATCTGTTAACATTTGGAACCAGATATCTTAGGTTATGATAATGGCTCTAAGCCTCAGGAGCTGTGTAGCCTTCAGCAAGTCACACAGCAATTGTGTGTATATTCTCATGCTCTATTTTAAAAAAGAGACAATAAAAAATATCCACTTTGCAAAGATGAAATAAACATTATAAGTAACATCCTGAAAACAGATGTGTCATGAAATAAGTCCCCAGGAAATATTTGCTCTGACATTGTTGCTCTCATATTTTGTTCTCCCACAAACAGCATTTAGAGGAATATTGGCGCCAGAGGAAGCAGTATGTGTAGATTTGATGATAAAAGCTGCCATGGTATCTTTTCTGTTGTTCTAGAGACGTTCCGATGTAACATAGAACAGGAAGAGGAAGAAAGGAGTCAGAGAGGATAAGAATCCAGTTAGGACAATGAGGACTACTGAGACCTCAAGAACAATGGCAATGGGTTTTTGATCCTACTGTACCTATTGGTTTCGTGGGAGCCTAGGCAGTTTCGTGGATGCTCACCTTACTAGACCTGGATGGAGGTGGGTGGTCCTTGGATTTCCCACAGGGCAGGGAACCCTGATTGCTCTTTGGGCTGATGAGGAAGGGGGACTTGATTGGGGGAGGGGGAGGGAAAGGGGAGGCGGCGGTGGGGAAGAGACAGAAATCTTTAATAAATAAATAAAATAAATAAATAAAGAATCCAGTTAGGAACGAAATGTGATTTAAGTCCCAGTTTTCCCCTCTGTAAATGGTTCCAAGAAGATTCTTAAGTTATCATTACAAAAGTTGGGGAAAATATATGGGGAGCGTTGGTGAAAAAGATGATTGTCACCCAACAACTGGTATGGATTGCCAATCTGTACAAGACAAGGCCTTCCAAGTGGCACTGGCATACAGACCAACTGTGCCACACTAGACGCATCTACCCAGTGCACCCCACTGCTGGAGGGAGGAAATCGGACATGATTTCTCTTACTCACAGTGTGTGAATTACTAGGACTCTTAAAGATGATGAATTTTATATAAAACACAAATTCTCAAAGGTGACCAAGAGCAAATGGAAAAACAGAAACCGTGATTGACAACCAATTCATCTCAGACGGCAGCCAGGCCTACTCCATCACAGCCTTGAGTAGATACACACAGTGAGGAATTTAAAAACCAGATTAGCTAATTGGATACCTCATAGATACTGGGTGGCTTGACGGGGTGAAGTCTTACACAAAATTCTAAACTGAAACCATAGAAGATATGCTAAGTGTCAGTTTAAATCAATGTATACCATGTACCTTGTGTTCTGACATGAACTCACCCTCATTGCCCAGCAGAAGGAAACAGCACACTCTGCTGGGGGAGCAGGGAGGATGGGAAGGGGGCTTCTCCAGCTCAACATAACTCTTCCCCCCAAAGATCTACTGAGGCCATGAAATGAGAGTAAGTCCGCATGAAGAACAAGGGCAGAGTTCAGAGTCTTAGCTTGTTAACCCCTCCATCCATCCTGGAATCCAAAAATCCCTGAGCAGATGTCCCAAGTACCTGTTGCCTCATGAGGCAGCCAAGCAAGCAAAGCGTTAATCCTACTTCAGAAAGTCGTGTGGCTGGAAACTTAACTGCTGTGGCTCTTTAAACACAGGAACACTTAGTTTTCTTGCTTTCCTCACCACAAAAAAAATTTAAAGAGGTACAGATTGTCCCCACAAGGTAGCAACTTTCAAAGTGATGAATGGTGTTTTGTGTGTAGGTCACAAATAAACTCTTTTCAAGATGTTATAACCAGCTGCAGCGGGAAGATTATCTTTTCTCCAAGAAGAAGCCCTCCCAGGAGTTTTCCTGATCTCACGTGGACAGTCCTAAACACCTGTGCACACAGACAACACTAACTAGACTCGGCAGGGTGTGAGTGTGTGCGCGCACATGCGCAAAACATGATATAAAAGTAGAGGTCATGAATTCAAGAGGGTAGAGACACCGAAGGAGTTGGAGAGAGGAAAAAGTGGACATGG